CTGCAGCTCTTCAGGCAGGATCTCCACTTTCCTACAGGGTTGGTTAAACGAAGCCTCAACAGAGGCAAAACTTGCCCTGCAGTCTGAGACAAGGGGCAGCAGGCAGACCATGGAATCACAGAGCCACTTACAATGGAAAAGGTAACTCTGAGATGCTCGAGCCCAGCCATTCCCCCAGCACTGCCAAGGCCACCACTGACCCATGTCTCCACACAGCTTTTAAATCCCTCCAGGGATGGGGACTGCCGTGGGCAGCCTGTGTCGGGGCTGGGCAACACTTTTCATTAAGAAGTTTTCCCCAGCATCCCATCTAAACCTGCCCTGGTGCAATTTGAGGCAACTTGATCCCTCTCATCCTCATCCTATCCCTTGTTCTCTGGGAGCTGTGGGGAGGGAGAACGTCTATCTCCTCTCAGGCTTCTTTTCTCCAGGAGTAACTAGCTGGAGGAGAATGCAAAAATGCACAAAGCAGCTCAGAGTGTGTGGAAGTGTTGCATATCCATGTGTGTGATGGCAGAGGATTCCCGTTGTGTTACTGGGAGTACACGGTCATTAGGAGTGAGCTGGAGTGGGAACACCTGGAGGGCCAGAGTTAAGAGTGATTATGCAGCCCAGCCCTGGCTTTTCTTCACTTTGGAGAGCTGCACAGCATAAATTTCATTATAGGTTTATATACAGCTAATTGGCATGTAGTTTGATATGCAAATAAAACCATATGAATATCAAGAGAAAGACTTAAAGCTGTGCTTTCCACTGTCTTGCTACAATCCTTGCTTTTCTGGTCAGTCTAATCTGCTCGATTGCTCCTTTCATCATCCTGTGTTTTGAAGGCATGATATCTCTTTCAAGGAACATCTGTCAGACGTATATTAATTAGTTAATTTTTCTGCATGGAATGTAAACACGAGGGTGGAGAACCCAAAGCCCTGAGGATCCAATGAGGTGTGTGGCCAAGTAATTTTGGGGTAATGCAGAGATGTGGCCTGGGCTCAGTCAGTAAAGGCAAGAAACAGCTTTCCTACCAGAGACAGTCAGTTTATACTAAAGACTGAAGTGAAATTTTCTTGATGTGGGCACTAGAGCCTGTGTCATAGACACTCTGTATGGAGGTGGCATTTCCAAACTGAGCTTTCTAAGCCAAAGATGCTACTGGCAGTGGTGCTGAAGTAGGTTTAAATCCAGTTTTTGATTAAGAATATTAAATTCAGGTATTTCAAGAATGAAAGAAAGCATGGAGAGACTAAATATTTTTACGTTGAAGGAAAATTGAAGGTGTAAATTTGTTAGCTGGTAGCACCAAGTTTCACTCCTGACTTGGGGCTACCTGGATGCCTCTCATGTGGTTCACAGAGAACCAGATTTACTGGGATTTTTGTGTTATGATCATGGGTGAATGTCTTTATTTTATTTTTTTTTAAATTTGCTTCCTGGCTTCCAGCCCTCTTAGTGATATGTTCACCGTGGACTATTAATATATCCCAACAGGAGCAACCCTACTTACATTTTTCTTTTGGAGTAAGGATTAGGGAATATCCCTTAGCCCTTCTTTTTCTTCCCCCTACTTTTCTATTTTTTTCTTTTTTCCATCCTTCTCCTTCAGAGCTGAACTCCACTGATTCATGAGTTTTTGCAGGGGCAGAGGACCCTGAAGGCTGTAAGCTAGTCTGGTCTCCAGGTGCTGTGTTTTTTTCCTAGGTCCCTTGAAGTGGGAGGAGGCCTGGAAGATGACTACTTTTTCTTTTAAGGTTGTTTATTTTTTTTAAGTTTTTTTTTTGTTTGGTTGGGGTTTTTTTGTTTGTTTTGTTTTTGTTTTTCGGGGGTTTTTTTGGTTGATTTTTTGTTGTTTTTTGGTTTTTTGTGGGGTTTTTGTGTGGGTTTTTTTGTTTGGGGTTTTTGTTTTGTTTTTTGTTTTGTTTTTTTTTGGTTGGTGGATGCTTCACCCTGGGATAATGGAAGGTGTCCCTCCTTGTGGCCCTTCCAACCCACACCATTTCTATGAGCTGTATCATTATGCAGCAGAATGCAGATCGGTACTAAGGGCTTTTTTTTTTTTTTTTTTTAAATATATATGTTTTGCCATACCTGTCCAGCCACATAATCACAAAAATGCCTCAAAGAGCAAGAGAGATGGCATTCACCATCAGCTGGGGATCTGTAAAAAAAAGATTGTCAGTGAAGCCACGACACTGGCAAAGCTTGGCAGTGGATTTTTTGCTGGGGCTCGTGGTTTCCTTGCCTCGCTGGATAAAATAAAACCTGCCAAAGCAGCAGCAGCAGCAGCAGCGAGCTCCCATCTATCTGTTCTCATACTCCCAGCCGCTTCTGCCTGAATTATTCATGCTCCGTAAGCGATCTGCAAACAGCTCCTGTGATCTCCCTGTGATCTCTGGGTATGCCAGACTCACCCCTGCTTAGGTCAGGGCATTTTCTTGTTTCCTTCCCCGCGGCAGGGAGTCTGTGGGAATCTCCAGATTCCTCACCGCCTCTTTCTGATTAACCCAGACGTGTATTTATTATTTACGTGGCAGGATTTGTTCAGCTGTCCCAGGCACACGGTATTATCGGTGGATAAGCAGGAAGACTCACTGCAAACATCTGTAGTTGTTGCTTGACAAATCCTGTTTGTATAAATAATATTAAGGAGCTGCAGAGGCTGTTGTAGAGTAAATACCCTTGTGACTGGAGGCAGCACTGGCAGCTTTTCACCTGTGTGTGCATCTCAATAGAGATTTACTGGGCTATTTTACACGCACATATATATATATACATATAAAATACTTCAGTTTATTTTTTTAGTTTAATGGTCCCTTCCAACCATTCCAATTATTCTGTGATTCCAATATATCTCTATATATATGGTTTATGTATCTGCCTTTTTTACACAAGCTCTTCTCCTGTGTTTATTTCAGCTTTTAATTTTTTTCTGCCGATTTGGTCATGGAAATAGTTTGGCAAAACCAGTGAGAAGGGTAGTTTATGGGCAGGTGATGGGCAGGTATTCCCTGTGCTCTGCTATCCATATCATTAATTGAATGGGCTGTGGGCCCACCTTTTCCACCACACCCACCCCAGGTAGATCATGGATCTGCCTCTCCAGTATCATCTACTTAACCACTCTTTTATTTTGGGATGAGGACTGGGATGCTTCAGGATCCCATTGCCAGTGGAACTGCAGCTAATGCTTTGAGCAAGGGACATGGGACCCCCTGGTCCACTTCTCCAGCTGAGGGAGTAATTTGGGATTAAAAAAACTTCATTTAGGCAACCTGCTTTTTTACACTAACCCATAGGAGGACCTGTGCCTTGCTTAGGATATCCCTCACCTATGACATAACCGGGATACAGTGAGTTTGTTAAAATGTCCTGTCTCTCTGCATCGTGGAAAGAGGATTTTCTATTAAACCTTAGGGAAATTACTGGCCTTGTTAACTAGTGTGGAAGTAATGAACCACAGCAGGGTGACTCGGGAGATTTGGGCCCTCGCTTCGTAAGACTGCATTGTTTCTTCAAATGAGAGAAATAATTTAAGCAAACAAACGAACAAAGAATTTCTGGAAATTAAAGTACGGTACAAATGGGATGATTTGCTCATCCTCTGTTTAATAGGAGTGGTGCAGTGAACAATTGTGTGGTCGACCTCAGAAATCTATCCATGGTAACTAGTCACAGGAGAGAAAAATAGACAGCCTGCCACCAACTTGGTATTAAAGTTCTATTTTCCGTTTTTTCCACGGTTGCGGGCCAGTCAGGGACTTTCCATGAGCAATCAGCACAGCAGAAATCCCCTTCTGCTCCCTAGCAGCCATCTCTGCTCAACAATCAAAGGTGCTTTTTGTACTGGTTTTGGCTTCAGTGGGGTTTGGTCCCAGTTTTCAGTGGGATCAGGCTGGGGCAGACCCTTCCTGCCAAATGCATTCTGCTGAAAGAGGAATAGAATCACGGAATGGTTTGGGTTGAAAAGGACCTCTCAACCATGGGCAGGGACACTTTCCACCTGACTGGGTTGTTCCACCTGGCCTTGCCCCTTCTACCCCCTGGCTGAGGCATGTTTGCTGTGGGGTCTGGTGAGGGAACCTCGCCTTTGGTTTTGTCACCTCTGCCAGGTGCTGGCTGCTGAATTCCCGATGGCTTTTGAGGTCTGTGCAAGCCCTGCATGACCCCAGTGGCTTTGGGCAGGTCCTGCAAGAGCCCAGAGGAAAGACAGGAAGACGCTGCCAAGCTGGAGTTCAAAAATAAATACATCAGAAATACTGGGCCTTCAGGCTCGATGGTCTGTTCCTCAAAAGACAATTTTGGAAGGCATCGCTGTGCTTTTGTTCTTCCATTAGGCAGCTGAGGAGAGAGCATTGTTTTCCTCCCCTCATCCGTTCCCCTTGTAGGGGAAGAAGGAGGACTTGGCCACCCTGAGCCGAGCATCCCAGGGGACCTCCCAAAACAAAGGGCTGCGTGGAGGGGGATACCATCATCCTGTCCCTGTCATCCCCTTCCCTCCCTTCACCCTGCCCCTGGCACGGCTCTACCCGCCCGGGGCTGGCGAGCACGGGGAGGGGAATGCTCCTCGTCTTTCTCCCTGGAAATCCAGCTCGCTTCTCCTACCTCCAGGTTTACTGCTGCCTGGAGAGCTGGCGAGGCAGCCCTGGGGTTTGCCTTCTGCCCAGGAAGGTGTGTGAGCCCTGGGATGTGCCCAGGTGCGGTGGCTTGGGTAAGGCAGCATTCCTGAGGAATGTGTGGGTGTTTCTGGATGTGGATTGAGCACACAGCCCGGTGTGATTTCTCTCCTGTGTGCTGTAGGCATCCATCCTGATCTGCAGGGAATGCCTGTGGGTTGGAGAGCATCTCTTCAGCCATGCTCTGCGTTGTCCTTGAGTTAATTCCCCATACAGGAAAATGTGGCTGGCACGTGGAGCTGGAATGGTTTTGACTTTATTTTTTAAGTTATAGGTTGTGTAGGTGTATTTACAAATAACTGGACTAACACCAACCTATCTTGTTTTGCCCAGACTCCAAGACTGACCCTGCTGAGAGCCCCTGAGATACTGAACTCTATGAGTGGAGACCACTTGACTGCACTCAGCACCTTTCAGGATCAGGCTTTAGGTAATTATTCTAATTCTCTGCCTGCATGATGAGGGAAATTTGCTCTTCTGGGCTATACAGACCATCTGAAATGACATTCCTAGTTGTTTGTCCCATGAACCTTTGGATTTTTTTTTTTTTGCTGCTGAAGGGTGTCAGTCTAGATTAGTGGCTTGGCACTACAATAACCACTGATCCCTCAAACATAAAGCAAAATACCAGCCTTGCTTTCAGAGGGGGAACCATAGAATGGTTTGTGTTGGAGGAACCCTAATCACCATCTAATCCAATCCCCTTGTAATAGGACATATTTGACTAGACCAGATTCCTCAGGGTCCCATCCAACTAAGCTTGAATATTTCCAGGGGTGAGGCATCCTGGAATTGCTGGATCACCATTCTGATAATAGTCACCAGCTCTCCTGCCTGGGAAGTTCTCTCAAAGTTAACTTGCAGAGAGCTGTACAAACAAGCAATCAATATCAAAAAAAGATTTTCACTTCCATCAAAAGCAGTCAGAGGCTTAAAATGCCAGTATTTGTTGGCAAGATCCGGCTTTAAGAATTGCTCGAAACCTACAGCTGCAGGAGCCTGCTTTTTAAAATAAACCCATCATCTTATTTGTCTGGGTTTACAGTAGCTTCATTCTCTCCTCCAGACTGGGTTGTGCCTTTGAGGAACTTTAAATCCTTGCTCCAAGGTGGATAGATGGAAATCAAAGAGCCTGGGGCCTGGCATTGTCTTGCTCTGCATCTGCATGGAGATATGTCAGCTTGGTGCTTTGCCTGGGGGCTGTGGGCAGGATTAGACCCAGGATTTGTGCTTTTATCCCAGCAAGGCCAGCTCAAACACAGAGCATGGGCTTGAGAGGTGAGGATCTCAGGGGTGGGTTTTAAGAGGAATAAGAAGGAAGCCAGCAGGATGCTGTGGATGTTACTCCGAAGCACTAAGGATGAAGGATTTCCTGTAGGATTGACTTCCTCAGTGAGATGACATTCCATACAAAATCCTCCACGCTGATAGAAGTATCAGTCAATAGAGGGTTATAATTTTTAACCTGATTTACTGAGTTTTTCCCCAAGTCAATACCACACTGATTCCAGCAGAGGTTAAAGCCCAGCTCTCAGATCAGAGTGGCATGAGGACAGAGGGTCTCGCTGCCCACTCTCCCAGGGCATCCTCTGTCCATGCAGGGACAGAGAGCTTTTCTCCATCCCTTGAAGCTCTGTGTGGTGACATTTTCAGGACCCAGGCAGGAGGGCACCGACTGGGTTGTTTCCTGTTTTGACAATCTCCATTTCAAATCCTCTGTAACACAGCTTTGTGCATGGAATTAGAACACCACATCCCATGGCCTCCTCCCTTGAATACTGCGTTGGGGAGCTAAGCTCATGTTTCCAGTGGGGAGGGAGAATACACAGGTCATGAAACAAGCGCAGAAAGTGAAAGAGAGGAAAATGAAGAATGAGAAAGAAGAAATATGTTCAGCATCAGCGCTGCAGTGCAATGCTCTTCTGCATCCACTCAAAATTTGTGGGAATGGGGTGCTCCCTCAGTGCCAAAAGTCATATGCTTTGTGTTTAAACTGCTGCTGTCAAAGCTTGCAGAATAACTAAAACAAAAAGATCGCAGGTCAAGTGGATGTTTTCCAATTGACCGGAGCTCAGTATAAATCCTGGGGAAGGAAATAACCCAACAAACATCCACCAGCCCTGTGTCTGAGTCCCCTGCTAGCTGCTGGTGGCAGGTCCTAGTGGGACATGCCACTGTCAGGCAGCTGCCTCAGCATCCTGAAATGTCCTCAGGCAGCATCTCCATCCCAATAAGTCTTTGTGCAAATTTCAAATTCAACAGGACCGGATCCAGATTTGATCTATGTCAGCAATTAGGAGGGTCAAGAGCATGAGAAGGTGAGAAAACACCTACCTGTGAGGAACCTGGGCTGGAGGCTCATCCTAAGCCCCTGCAACACGTCTTCAGCCAAGGGCTGGTGTTTGCTGCTCTAAATTCAGCAGTTTTGGGTAGGCAGTGCTCCAGGGGAGCATCAAGGCAAATGTGTCTCTGCCACCACTTTCCATCACCCCTCACAAAGTCCCCCCCCAAGGTTTTGGTGTGGCCAATTGCTCTTCCCTGAGCTGTAACCTGAAAATAGGGATAGATAAAGGCAAAGTGTTCTGGGAGCCGTGCCAAGCCAAAGGCACTGAGTTGTTAAGAGATCCGTATCTCGATAACAGATTTTTTGCTCTTTATCAGCTTTTAAGAGAAAATACAGTGTTTTCGGGAGCAGATTGGGATCATCCTAAGGAATGGAGCTCTCCTTTTAGAATTGTATTGCTTTTATTACTATTATTTTAATAATAATAATAATATTTCCGCAGTGAAACCATATATGAGAATGTTATTTGTGTAGGAACTGGAAATGAACCTGAAATGATCAGCGTATTTTTTAAAGGCACTTTACAAGTCATTTGCCATTGGAAAAGGTACAACTATCCATCAAGGCAGGGCTTGGGGATAAAATAATTAGAAATCACACAACCATAGCAAAGGAAGATTAGTGCTAAAATTAGAAGCCATAAAGTTGTTTTTAGATTAGGCTGGAATCTGGGCAGGCTGCTTTATTGTAGCCTGTTACTTTAAAAAATGTGAGGTGAGAGGTGTGAATTGTCTGCATTTTGTCGTGTCCCAGTGGAAATGCTGTTGTGAATGTTAGGTGGGATGATCTATGAGGTGAATTTCAGGGAAATCCTTAGGGGATGGAAGTACAGTCCCATGTGAAAGGTGACCAGCTGCTAAAGGAGCTGGATTCAGTGCTGAGCTCTTCTCCACAGGGGTGTCCCCAAAAGTTTAGTTTGCTCCTAGTTTTGTTTCAGGGTTGTAGGGGCCAAATACCCACATTGCATGCAGAAAAGGTGGTGAGATGGCTGGAATTGGGAATTTAAATTGTAATTTCCACCCGCATGTGGGATGGGTGTGAGTTGGAGCTGCTGTGGTGTTCCCTTGGTGCCAGACAGTGACATCAGATGGGCAGAGCCCGTGGAGCTTCATCACTTTGTCAAGCATGAATAGGAACGAATCCTCCATCAGAGACAAACACAAAATTGATGAGAAGACAGACAGAGCTTGGGGTGTTCATCCTGGAGAAGAGAAGGCTCCAGAGAGAGCTCAGAGCCCCTGCCAGGGCCTGAAGGGGCTCCAGGAGAGCTGCAGAGGGACTGGGGACAAGGCAGGCAGGGACAAGACAAAAGAGAATAGTTTCACAGCAGGAGGGGAGATTCAGACTAGATGGAAGAAATTTTTTGTGGTAAGGGTGGTGAGGCCCTGGCACAGGTTGCCCAGAGAAGTGGATGCTCCATGGATAAATCCCTTCAGGAAAAAGGGTCTTGACACTCAAGCCCTTTTAGGCTTAACATGAGCAAGAAGTTGGAGGACAAGGTCAGGCACATCCTGGTGTTTCCACTGGGGAAAATGCCAAGGGGAGACCCCTTCAGCCAGAGAAAGGTGACTTCTTCAGGGCTGATACCTTTAGATTTGGAGTGGGGGATTTCTGGGATAGAAACCCAAACTTCCTAGGATCTGCTGCCTAAATATGAACACAATTAGGTGTACCTCTTCCCCTGGTCCCAGCAGAGGTCCCAAATGAAAGGGTCTCAGGTTCCCTGCTGCTGGGGAAGCAGCAGCCCTGTTGTGGCCACCCACAGCATCTTTCCTGCACTTGCATTTCCCGGTGCCTGCAGGGGAAAAGTGGAGTTGAGCAGACTGCCTGCTCCCCCCAGAACGCTCCCTGCTGTGCCTCCAGCTCAGTGAAAGCAGGACAACTCCTCATCCACTCTTTGTAGCCCGAGAACAGAGCCTTGGAAAAGTCCGTCAGCGGGAACTTTACTAATTCCAACTAATGACTCCGAAATACTGACTGAGGGGAACAATTGCTCATCATCAAAAGTCCCAGACAAAAGAAATGCACTGCATTGTAATAGCAAACGAAGCTGAATTTGATCTGATGGAGCACCTTTCATATTCCAAGCGTTTCAAAGCCCTTGGCAGAGTAATGAGCTGCATGCTGACAGCGGGGCCACTGGACCAGGCTTTATGTGGCCAACAATAGCCAGCACGGTTGTTGGCAGAGGCTGCTCATGGTGGGAGAGGGGATGGATGGTGGCTAGCGTCTTGGGCTTATCCTGTGCTTTCCTGGCTTTTTTTTTTTTTGTGCTCTTGGATCTCTGGCTAGTGGTTGGATGGGCATGGAGGGCATGGCAATATATGTTGGTCTTTCTTAAACGGGGTTTAGAAGATGTAGACAGAGTTTTTAGTAGGGCCTATAGTGAGAGGACAAGAGTTAATGTTTTTAAATTAAAAACAGGGAGGTTCAGACTAGGTGTGATGGAGAAAGTCTTTATGATGAGGGTGGGCAGGCCCTGGCACAGGTTTCCTAGAGCAGCTGTGGCTGCCCCTGGATCCCTGGAAGTGTCCAGGGCCAGGCTGGACAGGGCTTGGAGCAACCTGGGATAGTGGAAGGTGTCCGTGGCCCTGGCAAAGGACTGGAACTGGATATTAAGGTCCCTTCAATGCAAACCATTTCAGGATTCTTACTAAAGAGGGGTGGAGAAACGTGTTCAGACACACAGGAGAGGAGGATTCCTTGGTGCAGCTGAGAATAGACCTCGGCCTCCCAGGTCACCACCCAGCCCTCTAATCTTGTGGTCCCCATGACAGTTTCATGAGGGCCCACATACAACTTCAGCTCTTTAATTTTAGCTAAGCCAGAATAGCACTGGTGCAGCTGTGGGAACAGATATCTTAGTCCTCAAACTGTTTCTGTGGTGGGGAAGTTTCTTGCCTATTGCGAGGAAAGGAAATGGTTAATGGTGTATTTTTTTTTTCTTTTTTTCTTTCCTTTTTTTTTTTTTTCCAAAGAGGAAATAAATGTAGGTACCCCACCCTGAGGGGAGAGCACAAATCTGTCAGCCCTTGTCGGGTGGGGGCAGGCAGCTGGGCTGTGTTAAGGAAGTCACCCTGGGGAGG